TTTGTACTTACTGGGATTTATAGTTCACTACAATTAAAGAGCATTCTGAAACCCACAAACAACAGAAATGGGACAAACTTCCTGCACAGAACCCCCATGACCAACAGAAAATACTTAAGGCCATTCAGTCCAACTCTCTTCACCAGGGCAAGAAAATGTAATCAGAGCCCTCCTGACAAAGAGCAGTCATCAATATAGATAGATAGATATGATTCTCTCTCACACACACAGATATAGTATCATAGATTTGAAAGAGACCCTTAAAGAAGGACTATGATATATTGCATATTCCAGAGTAGGCAAACCAGACACTCTCCACATCAACACTGACAAAGAAACAACAAGAAATACTGTTTACTCACAAGCATAAAGGAATTACATATATTAGAAACCAACACTCTCATTACTTTATTTTCCAGATCACCAGACTGGGCCACAACAACACATGGCAGGGGACAGAGCTAGTTGTTGAATATTGCCCTATACTTCCTACCTATTACCACCAGTCATTCCTCTAATAGTCCCTGGAAATGAGCAGCCACAGACCCGTACCTGCTATTGCTGTTAGCCTGTTATAGCACTGTACTTAATTCCTAGTCCCCTCATATTTTGAGCTCGCACTAGCTTTGGCCCAGCCTTTTAATTGCTCTGAACAGGCAGGATCATTTTTAACATATATGTGTTATTGTGATAATTTTATGCTTATATTGTTTTTTTAATTTTATGTTATGCTGTCTGTATGTTTTGGTGATGTTACTTTGAAACCGCTCTGAGTCCCCCTTTGGGGAGATAGAGCAGTATATAAATAAAGTTTTATTTTATTATTATATATACGCCTCACACATTCTGCCCTGTTGCTGTGAAAGGATCTAACCAAAAATTGTTTTCTTGTAAAGCCTGTTGACTCTAAACGTCTTCTAAAAGGTAATAGTATTCTGCTGAGGAGCAAAGAAATGACTGACTGCGAGGATCTCCAGGAAGTGGAGTTGAACAAGCAGCCATTTACCAATGGGACCTGTGGAAATGAAGCAGACACTTTAAACGATTTTGTAGTTAACGAAGATTACAGACCAAACACTTCAGAACGAACAGGACAGACAGGCAGATACTTAAGAATGATGCGTACATGTGGTAAGTTACCATTCTGCTTAATGAGAAATGAGGATAGTGACTGGTGCAAGAATAATTTTTTTCTTCAGAGAGCTGATTGGAAGCAAAAGGAGTCTTGGGGCCTTTCCACACAGCCATATAACCCAGAATATCTGCTTTGAACTGGAATATCTGAGTCCACACTGCCATATATCCCAGTTCAAAGTAGACAATGTGGAATTTTATTCAGCTATGTGGCAGGGGCCTTAGGGTGTGAAGAGTGGGAAAATGTGGTCTGTGGGTTGCACCAGCAACCATAGGACACAATGAAAAAACCCCATGCATTCCAGTTTTTTAAAAAAGATTGAAAGATTCTTCCTTAGCTCCCAAATCTTTAAAGTGTGTGTGTGTGAAGTGGAAATATTTTTCTCCTTTTCCTTTTATTATGGCACTTCAGTGATGTTAAATTTTTCACTACAGCTGTTTGTTTGTTTTCAGAAGAGTGCCAAATTTCCAAGCTGGGGCTATACAGTGATGATCATTTTTAGATATGGGAGCATGTGGTCCTATAATTATATGTACAGCCAATTGTACATAGTCTAAATTAGGGGTGGGCACAGTCTGGCTTTCCTATCAGTTTTAGCTAGGATATCTAATGGTGAGGAACACCAGCAATTGTAATGCAACATTGCCCAGTCCAATAGTAGGCTTGACCTACTATGGCCTAAGCCCAAAGTTATACAATGGTACAATTTTTCATACACATACAATCACAGAATCACATGAAATGTATGATTCTGTGGACCTGTATGCAGTGCTTATTTTTAGATACCGAGGTTTATGTATGGCTAATATGTCTGCGCTCCATGCAGTCATGCTGGCCACATGACCTTGGAGGTGTCTACGGACAACAACACCAGCTCTTCAGCTTAGAAATGGAGATGAGCATCACACTCCAGAGTCGGACATGACTGGACTTCATGTCAGGGGAAAACCTTTACCTTAATATGTCTGCATGTACAGCCAGTTGTCATAACATGTCATGCATGAATCACAACATGCAGTGGCTAATAGTAGTTGTGCTCTTTATTGTGGGACTTGCACTCAACATGTATTTCTTTCTCATTCTCTTAGCTAAAAGACAAAACTGGTGGAAGATCTTGACTTTTGTGGCTATTCTCGGCAATGTAGTCACTGCAGCCATTTGTGAGTTCCCAGTCTCTTATTTATCCTTTCTGTTTCAGTTATTCAGTACTGGAATTAAAGGATTTGCTTGGTTTTCCCTACCACATCTGTGTATGTGCCTTCAAATTGTCTTTTGACCCACAATGACTCAGTTAACTGTATTAGACTTTCACTGATAAAAACTTGGGCCTGGTCTACACTGCCATATAAATCCACATTATCTGCTTTGAACTGGATTATATGGCAGTGTAAACTCATAAAATCTGGTTCAAAGCAGATAATGTGGATTATCTGTTTTGATAATCTGGATTATATGGCAGTGTAGAAGGGGCCTCAGGTGGGGGGGAAGGGATTTTTTTTTGGTCGTGTCAGGAGCGAGTTGAGAAACTGCAAGTCGCTTCTGGTGTGAGAGAATTGGCTGTCTGCAAGGACATTGTCCAGGGGACGCCTGGATGTTTTTTGATGTTTTTACCATCCTTGTGGGAGGCTTCTCTCATGTCCCCACATGAGAAACTGGAGCTGATAGAGGGAGCTCATCCGTGCTCCCCCCTAGATTCGAACCTGTGACCTGTCGGTCTTCAGTCCTGCCGGAATAGGGGTTTAACCCACTGCATCACTGGGGGCTCCTAGGGGAAGGGATGTTACATTGGCAAATACATATTTCTCTATATTTTCTTAAATAATGCAAAAACAGAGGTGAGAGTTGGTAGTAGCAGACAAGATATGTGCAGTTTCACTGTTGTCTACACCTATTCTTTCTACCTCATTTCTTTTCCCGAGTGCTCTCCCCTTCCCCCCAAATGGCTTGATTTCCTCATTCAACTGGGGGCCATTCCACACAGCCCTATATCCCAGAATATCAAGGCAGAAAATCCCACATTATTTGTTTTGAACTGGGTTAGCTGAGTCCACAGATAATGTGGGATTTCCTGCCTTGATATTCTGGGATATAGGGCTGTGTCGAAGGGCCTACAAGTTGCCCTGAGTCCATGAAATTCTCTAATTGCAGATTTGTTCCTTCAAAAGCAGTGCAGTCGCTCAAGATTTACTGAATTGGGCCCTGGGGCTGCAATCTAGTTTGGAAAAGCTGAATATATGTGTTGCATACCATAGCTGTCATGGGAGTGGCATGCAAAAGGCACCAAAGGGGAACACAGCAAAGTAGATGGGGTCAATAGTAGGTCTGATCAGTTCCATAGCCTGCAAACCACATTTTATTTCAATAGAACAACTTTGTGTCCTTCAAATACCCTGTTAAAAACAAGAAGTAGAAGTAAACCTGAGTTTTCACATCCCTAAACTAAATTCATGCTACTTTCTTTGTTCTAGCTGTGATCCTGACCAAATTATCATGTGGCTCATGCCCAGCAACAATTGTCCCCCCTTGTCCTTCAGGGTGGGTTGAGCATGGAGACAAATGCTACTACTTTTCTGAATCTGAAAGGACTTGGAGATCCAGCCAGAGCAATTGCTCTGCATCTGGTGCTTCTCTGGTTTTGATTGAAGATCAAAAGGAAATGGTGAGAGAGACTTTCAGAATGTGTAGTAAGGTTTTTTGTTTGTTTGTTTTTATTACGCTCAACCACTAGGTTCTACCAAGCATCTGTGGGGATCTGAATGCCATGAACCTGAATTCATGACAGTAGTAGAGGCTTCTTACATGACTGGCATAATAACAATAACAATAACAATAATTCTTTATATGTAACCTAGTCTATCTCTCTGAGGGGACTCAGGGCAGCTTCCAACATAATAAAGGCAACATTCAATGCCTGTATAAAGCAGAAGTAAAAAATATAAACAACAACAATAAAATACATCACACAAGTTAAAACAAGCAATTTAAATAAGACTTAAATAATCAACACTGGAACCATTAAAAGCCAGCCAAGATAGCATATCAAATCTATTTCCTTCTCTTTCCATTTATCAATATTGTGAACCCTATTCCTCCTTATCATCATATGCTTAAAAGCATAGGAATGTTTTAAGTTGTTCTTTAAAAATGAGTAAGAAGGGAGGCATTTTGCTCGCCTTGGGAAGGGTATTCCAAAGACAGGGGGTAACCACTGAGAAGGCCCCCTCTCTCATTCATACCAGCCATGCTTGAGATGGGGGTGGGATCGAGAGTAAGGACTCCCTGGCTGATCAAAGAGCCCAGGCAGGTTTGTACAGGGAGATGCAATTTTTTAAATAGCCTCAGCCTGAACTGTATAGGGCTTTATGAGTAATAAACAGCACTTTGTATTTAGCCCAGAAGGAGACTGGCAGCCAGTGGAGCTGCCGTAACATGGGAGTTTTCCCGCTCCCTGAATGGCGCTAGTAGTCTGACTGCCAATCTCTGGATGAGTTGAAGCTTCCAAACTATCTTCAAAGGCAGCCCCACGTAGAGAGCATTGCAGTAGTCCAAGTAGCATGTGACTAAGGCATGGACTACCATGGCCAGATCTGGCGTCTCAAGGTACAGGTGCAGCTGGTGCACAACTTTTAATTGTGCAAAGGTGCTCCTGGCCACTACCGACACCTGGGGCTTGAGGTCAACAATGAGTCCAGGAGCACCTCTGAACTGCGAACCTGGGTCTTCAGGGGAAGCGTGACCCCCTCCAGCACAGGCTGTAATTCCATGATCTGTCTTCTGACTGACCAGGAGTACCTCTGTCTTGTCTGGATTTAGTTTCAACTTATTAGCCCTCATTCAGGACTAATAAGGATGGCATCCTTGGCATTGGGTGGAAAGGAGTAATAGAGTTGGGTGTCGTCCATGTAAATTTGACACCAAACTCCAGATGATCTCTCCCAGTAGTTTCATGTAAATATTAAAAAAGCATGGGGGACAAAATTGAACCCTGAGGGATCCCTCAGGCCACCAACCTGGGAGTTGAACAGGAGTTATTCAGTTGAGTGGGGTCCAGTGTTGGTTTCTTTAATAGTCCTCCGGCACCACCATTTGGGCCTGATCCTTCAAAAAGGACCAGAGCCACCGTCGAACAGTGTCCCCAAGCACCATTCTGGAGAGATGGCCCAGAAAGATACCATAGTCAATAGTATTGAATGCCTCTGAGAGGTTCAGGAAAACAAGCAGGGACATACTCTCTCTGTTTAGCTCTCTTTGTAGATCATATACCAAGGCGACCAATACCATCTCAGTTCCATAGCCAGGCCTGAAACCAGATTGAAATGGATCTAAATATTCAGTCTCATCCGAGAAACTTTGGAGTTGTGAGGCCACTACCTTCTCTAGAACCTTGCCCAGAAAGGGGAGATTTGATACTGGCAATAAGTTGTTCAGCTGAGTGGGGTCCAGTGCTGGTTTCTTTAATAGCAGTCTTACTACTGCCCCCTTGAAAATACTCGGCATTATGCCTTGAGTTAAGGAGGAATTTACCAACACCCACAGCCATTCCACCACCCCACCCACCCCCAAGTTGATTTAATAAGCCAGGATGGGGAAGGGTCCAGAGAACAAGTGGTTGCCTTCATCTCTCCCAAGATCTTGTCCACATCATTGGGATGAATAAGTTGAAAATAATCCATTAAACAAGGACAAGCAGATGCCTCAGTTACATCCTTGGAGACTGCATCAATACTGATGTCTAGGTCGGAACGGATATGAGCAACTTTATCTACAAAGACCCTAGCAAAATCTTCACAATGAGTGTCGATTTTTTCAGGGAGCTCTGGCTGAGCAGGGTTTAAAAGTCCTCTGACCACTTAAAACACCTCTCTCAGGCAGTTCCTTGCAGATGCAATGTTGGCAGCAATAAAAGATTTTAAAAGCCACGGAATAGCCTTTTAAATGAGCACTAAATGAGCTCTATATTGTGCTTGGATTTGCTGCAAGATTGACGCCAATGCTCCTGTAGTCTCCATTTCACTTGTTTCATCGCCACTAGCTCCCTGGCTCTTCTTTGTGAAAGATGTTCGGGAGCTAGAATGACAGTGTACATCCTTGCTTTCACCCCTGCCTATCTACTTTTGCTTGTGAAGCCTTTGGGTGCATCTATACTGTAGAATGGATGTAGTTGGACACCACGTTAACTGCCACGGCTCAATGCTCTGGAATCATGGGAGTTGTAGTCTTATAAGGTTCTTAGTCATCTCAATTAAGAAATGACAATTCCCAGGATTCCACAGCCGTGTCAGTTTGAACCAGAATTAGGACTGCCAGGGTTAAATCTGGAGAGGGCTC